TGCTTGGCCTCAGCCCCTGACTTTGTCCTTGAGCAAGAGGGCCAATTTGGCGGGGCTGAAACATGTGCTTATACACAACATTACACAACTAACACGGCTAGCGGATGGGTTGAAATGGTTGACAGGAAAATAGACCAACTTGTCATTGTCCTAACTCGGCATCCTGAAGGAAGAGACAGAAGTATGCTGAAGGAAGAGACAGAAGTATGTGACGGGTCGTTGCTACTGGGTCCTTGGTGACAGGAGTGATTTAACACCTGATTTGTGGAAATGTTTGGAGGTAAGGTTATGGTTTTGAACTGTTGCGATTTGGGGGGGTTCAGTCCTGTTTTGGACAGACCCGGGTCCCGGGAAGCGAATCGAATTCCGAATTGATTATTGTTTGGGGCTGCACTATCCAATATATTGGCGATAATTATTGTCGCTTATGGGAACCCCTGTTAACTAACCAGAAGAATGCAATGACGTCGCGGGTTGTGAACATTGTGAACATCACCATTTTCCTATTTGTTTCTCATGAATTGTCCCTTTTTTCCATGGTTTTCCTAAGCCAGTCGTTTTCAACGCCGCCATTCGCGAAACAATAACACCAAGGCATCGCTTCTCTCGAGCAGCGTTGTTGAAGCCCACCTTGCCGGAGAGCAGTTGGGGGGTATTGAACCACTAAACACAGGGATGCTCCAAGTCATTATACTTAGATGTGCCATGGGATTAACTAACTGGTTAGTAACTGGGGATATAACCCTCTATATCCCAATTATAATCCATTTACTAACTAGTTGACTAACTCCATGGCCCATCTAAGTAGGTAAATGATACTGCGGCAGAAGTGCGGTAATTTCTGTTGTTTTTGCATTTTGCCATTTTGCCATTTTGCCCCCCTGCCTGAGGTGTTGGGAGCAACCACTATGGAGTTTACATATGAGTTTACCAACTCAACATGGGAATGTGAACCAGTGAAAATGGGGAGTCAGCCAACAGAAATCAGATTTCTGGGAATCCGTTTACCAAGAGAAGTGGAAGTTTCACCATCAAAAGATATCAAAAGTGGAAACTTAACGATCAACAATTTATACATATATATATATTATATTAATAATATCAACTATAATTCCACAACAGCATTTTTGGATCCGCTTTTGAATGTGCCTTATTTTTTTTGGGAAGTACTTCAAGTTACTGTAAAAGGAGCTAAAAAAACCAATCCAATTATAAATCCCAGCTTTCGGGTTGAAGAAGACTCCAGATTTGGTTGTGTTTTTTCGGGAACAAACAGGAGTCCAGCTCGACCGCGCCTTGGAAACCTCTCGGAGATGGTGGCATGAAACATTCGTGGGATTCGAGCTGATGGATGACATTGTCAGTGGTTCATATCGGCATGGCTTGGTTTTTTAGTGAAACGTTTTAAGTTCAGGACAAAATTGGTTCAAAGGTCCAATTCAATAATCTTAGGTGAAGCGCCGCAGTGTAAAACTGGTCACTGTATCCCAAGATTCTTCTAGATGACGCTGTCCCAATACGTGTATTTAGTGATATCTGAAGTCGACTTTCTACGAGCTGACCTGAAATGGGATACCAATGGAACCGCTAATGATCTGCAATATTTTCTATAGTAAGACATGGTTTCGGCATGCCAAGAGGCTGGATCCCCACTTGGTGATTTATTACCTAAATACCCCCATTTAAGGGACTTCGGAATACATAGCTCCAATGCATTGCACAAGGGTTCGTTTGGGGGTGGTTACGGGTAAAGGGATGGGTTTTGATCATGTTTTCCGGTGACCCCCTATGCTTCAGAGGGAGGACGTGCATCTTCATCTGCAATGTCACAACTTTTTTGCTAATTAGGTAGATTCGTCAGTAGATCGACTTTCCAATCATGTGATTATTAGATCTTATTAGATCAAGTCATTATAGTTGGGAAAATCACTTCAGTCATGTAGATCTTCAGAAATAAAGTATTGAAGATTATTGGGGATCCGTATCATATTTCAGTCAATCATCCAGGTCAATCTTAGATGGGTAATCCTTTAGATTCCTTTAGTTTTTTGGTACCAATGGGATTATCTACTAACCAGTATTCTAACCAGCTAAGAATTTAGTTTTTTGCAGGGTATCTAAGATTGGCACTGTCATGTGATGAAAATTGTTGCGACGTAATAATGGGATTTCCGAAAGCGCTTCAGTCGAGTAGATCCGTCAGTGATGTTGAACTGGGAATGCTCCAGCTCATTTTCCGAGCTTAATCGACCCTAACCTCCTTGAAGGACACACGGTCAATTTCTCTCGCTCGTTGATACGACTAGCTTGGATCCTACAACATGCGGATACCCTACTGCCAATGGCAGGAGAAATCCGAGCCGAATTCAAGTGTCATACGGCCGGAGTCAGTGGCACACATGCTTGGGGGCTCATGCTGCCGTCGAGTTCTCGGGTCAGCCCAGTCACGTATCATTCTGTTGTCGCAGTGCGATACCGAAGCTTGTGTCAATACATCGATGGCAAATGGGTCCTAGGCAGCTTTGCGTCAGGTGGGAACCCCAACAGACCGCCCGGCTACCAATTTGTACTGTGGGATACCAATGCCAAGTTAAATGGGTTGATAGCCACCGATATGACCACCTTGTGTGCAGATGTTTTGAAAAGCTTCTCTACCAACACTTGTGACTCCGAC